GAAACGTCACTCACATCGGCAAAAACAGGCAATATGGCTACGGAGACAGTGGATGTGTGAACACGGCCAGATTTCTCCGTCGCCGGAACTCTTTGCACGCGATGAATTCCCCCTTCATACTTGAACATGTTGTACGCTCCTGGCCCTCGGATTTCAGCAATGCCACTACGAAGTCCACCTGTTTGAAAAGAACAAAAAGGAAAAGCATAAAAGAGTAGAATTCGATGGTAAAATGACTAAAATCACATGGAGGAAAGGAAAATGATGAAAGAGCAAGTTTACTCAAATTTAGTCCACGGATTCATCATTACAGCGTGGCTTAACGCTGTTCTTCGTTAATGTGAGTAAAAATAGAAAAGCGGGGGTACATGTCAGATTATTCATCAAGAAAATGGACGCCCACACATAATAATAATATAAATAACAAGGGTAAAACTTATTTACCACCCATTCCTTCTCGGTACACTCGAAAAAATAACTGGCATCATATAAAAATTGTGAAGCACAAAATAATTGCGGCGCTGGAAAGTGTATGATTTACGAACAGCACGGCGAAATAATTTATCGATTTAGACAATAGAGTACAGTATTACAAAATCCCCACTGGATAAATTGTATTCACTGGAAGCAATGCTGACTCGATGGATACCTGTGTTTATGTTCTCTTCTTTGAATCGGGCTTCCCCGCGGGGAAGGAAACACGCTTGGCGGAGTCTTCTCATTTTAATTTTTCCAAACAAACGTTGAATACAACAAATAGTGAGTTGAAAATTGTCATTCCTTTTTTTTCTCGTCTTAAATTAAAGGCATACAGGTAATAACTCACCAATATCCGAATTATCTTTCGCATTGATTTCCACGCTCCAACCACGACTCTCGGCGAACGTTTGGTACATCTCGAAAATCTCGCCCGCGAAAAGCATGGCCTCTTGACCACCTACTCCCGCGGACACTTCCAACAAGATTTCATCCGTGTCTGCTGTTTTGCAGAAGGTCAAAATTTCTAAAGCCTGAAGCATAAACGGGGTCATGAAATTTGAATATAGAGAAAAGTCTCAATCAAGTGATTGTACCTGCCTCGTAAGTTCTTCGCCGCGAAGTTTTAGGTTGTTCCTGTCCTCTTCGGCCAGTTTCCTGAGCTCCGCATCGCTGTCTAGTAAAAATCAAAAGGCCAATAAATAACGGTTTTTTGGCTTCCGCTCATTCGGAAGCACGATTTACAGGAATGTCCCCATGGCTTCGCCAAATTCGCAATTCAGATGATAAAAAATGTTATGAATCGGAAATAAATCCGAAATAACCTGATTTTGATGCAAGCAGAATTTCCCTAACCGAATTGCTGTACAATCAGTCAGTCATTGATGATATTT